CACACACACACACACACACACACACACACACACACACACACACACACCAAAAAAAAACCAAAACCCAAAACATTAAATCACTTATACAATTTGGTGGGACTCCACCCTGAAAGAAATTGGGTTGAACCTAAAATAAAATAGGAAGCAGATGGGTAAGAATTTTTAAAAATACATAGTTACTTAAAAAATAACTATGGCTCCTGCCATAGTTAAAAAATAACTTTAAATAGTTGGAGTTGGAATTTGTAAGATAACTTCTGGGGCTTCATTATTCACCCTAATCAGGACCCTGTAGCTTTTGTACTGAATCATTTCTGCTTACTGATGGCATAGCCATCCAACTCATGCAGTTACATTGTGGGCGTGAGGGAGAAGCAGCAGTATATTATTCAAATAGAAAGAATGTCTGAATCTATTGGCAAGACTGTTAAATGGCAGCAGTTTTCTTCAGGTAAAACAAAGTTGCTCTCACCCATTACTCCTAACCTCAGGATTGGGCGTGAGAGTCGAGATGGGGCCGTGTCTTTTAAAAACTTCTCTGGCATCTCTTCCCTTTATTTCTTAGAGCAAAACGTCTGAAGCCCTTGCGAAACTAATGTCTCTTCAAGCCACAGAAGCTACTGTTGTGACATTGGGCGATGACAACGTCATCCTCAGGTGACTATTCTTCACCAGAGACTCTTTATCTGTCATTCAGAAAATGTTCATTGATGTTGTGGGAATGGCACTGGACATGAAGTCAGAAGTTTGAGTCCTGGTTCTACCACTAACTGAGCCTCGGACTGGTTGCTTTCATGTCCCCGAACCTATACTTGAAGGGTTATAAGCCAAGTGCTTTATAAAACTTAAAGCATCCTATAAATGTGAGTTATCATTACCTTGTGTGGCACTCTGTCATGTAAGAAAAGCAAAAAAAAAAAATCTTACTCAGGCATGGCACTTGCCCCCAAAGACTGTTGCAATAGCTTTCTGTTTGGTCTCCCTGTCTCAAGCTTCTCATCACTCTAATCAAGAGAACTTATTTTTTAAAAATATTTTGATACCTATATTTCATTATAATCAGTTTTCTTTGTAATCCTCTATATTCTATTTTATTCATTTTAAAACATTCTTCTGATATGTTTCTTAACTATTACCACCACCACCATCTTGTGCTGTATATCTCTCTAGTCACATCAAACCTTGCAGAAACTTTCATCAGTTGCTGATCGGTGACTGAAAGGACTGCATGTGTCATCCAGGCCAAAGAATTGGGTTTTGATGCTTGGGAGATAGCTGAGATGACCCACGTGGCTGAGCTGGAGGACCTCCTTTACAGATCCACTGGTCTGAGAAAGGGTCATCCAGAACTTGTCACACAATGCATAGTGACAGGGTGCCCTGGCTTGTTAAAATTAGAAGAAATCACTTATTACATAAATTTCACAAAACTAATGAAGGGACTAGACTAGGAATCACATCTATAATCATTCAATAAGTGCCTACTGTGTACACTGCTCTGTGCTAAGTGCCAGGAGTACAAAGACAACGGTAAAACAGTCCCTGCCTTGGAGAAGTTTACATTTTTGAGAAGCAGATGTACACATACAGGGAATCTCCAAAGTCCTGGTGCAGGTTTAAACTTTAGTAACTTCAGAAATATAAAGTCTAGAAACTAGGAATTGTAGTGGTCTAGAAACTCAATGTGAGGGAACTGAAATGATGTGCAAGCTTATGTTGCTTATGGGGCAAAAGGTTTTTACTCTATGATTATGGTGGTACTAAGAACTAAACATACAGCTCTGGAAGTGATCTGAGCAGGGCAGAGCACAAACAGAACTGTCATCTCCCTCGTTCTGTACGCTGTAGGCAACATAAGCTTGCACATCATTTCAGTTCCCTCATGTTGAGTTTCTAGACCATTACAATTCCTAGATCTTTGGCACATTTACTACTGTCTAGCCATCCCTCCTCTACCCTGTGTTTGTGTAGATGATTTTTTAAAACCAAACCACAGAGTCTTATATTTATTTCTGTGCTTCAAGGATTTGCAGTTTTGTAAATATGGACACTCCTTCCCCTGGTGCCCAGATTCCAAACCCTCTGTAAGTGGATAGTTAACTCTGAGGGTTGCCATGCTTAAAAATAAAAATCATTACTCTGTGGCCAGTTAGGTGATGAGCTTCTCAAAACTTATCTAGGCTGGTTCTCAGATAACAAATGTGTGCTCCATCACCAGACCCATACTTGGAGTCTTTTCAGCTTGATAGCCAGAACTTGTGCTCTGCTGTTAGGGCCTTTGAGAACATCTATGGCTGCTTTTACCCAATGACGAAACACTGGGATATGACTTTAGTGGGCTTTGTGTTTATTGCTAGTCCATTTCATCTTAGTAACTTTGGCCCCTCATTCTATCCTTTTTGAATTTTTGTCAGTTTATAAGTAGAAAATTACAGGATTTGGAGCCAATAGGATCTGTCTTTGATCATCTAGTCTAAGGCTCTCATTGTAAAGATAAGAACACCTTGAAGGCCAGAGAGGTGAAGAAACACACCTGAGGTTATGGAAATAGTGGGTAGCAGAGCTAGGATTGGAATTGAGGACCACTAACTCTAAATCCAATGCTCTCTCCATTATATGACATTGTTTCCTTTTGACTCCATTAACTAACTTGGGAGCATGAAAAGAACTCGGGCAGTCCAGCCCGCTCTTCTGTTCTGTTTATTCTGGATCGACTTCTTTCTTTATGGTATCCATTCAAATAGCTTTTTGTAGAGTAGGCATTTAACAAATATTTGTTGAAATAGGCTTTAGATTGTAAAACACAATTGAGCACAGCAAACATGTAATAAATAAATACCTATTACCTGTAATTGTACCTGCTTTTGTCCATGACTGCAGGAACCTCTTTGTACATCTAGTATCTGACACATTATAAAGTGCTAGAATGTTGGAAGATAATGAAAATGGGAATAAGACTTTGAGGCATTCGATTCTACCCTCTCCCTGCCTTCTTTGGGAATACTCATTGTAACAGGTTCATAATGCAACATAAAACAACATAAAATAGGTTTATACTCCTTTCTAAGAGCTTGTGCAGAGCTAAGTCTGTTTTCCCCCTTCAAAGTGCTTATGCACTTATGCACTACTGTTAGGCAACTGGTTATATTCTAAAAGTGGTGAGAATAAAAAGGGTTTTGACTGAGTCACTGTTATACATTGGTCCTTAGAAATGTCTAGTGTACATTTGTCCAGAATCAAGGTGATTTAAAAAAAACCAAAACTCTTTCATATCTCTCTTATAAACAGAACTTAGCATCTTTTTAAAAAATGGTGATTGAAAAAGATTTCTTGTTGAAGAATTGCTAACCATTTAGAAAACAATTTTTCTTTATAAGCTAAGGTTTGAGTAACTCTGCACTTCCTGTCAGAAAACATGCTATAATATATAAAAGCGTGGATCACTAAGGGAATGGATATAATTCATATTTCAGTTCATACTAAACCCTAGCTAAAGTATTGATCAGAGAGAGGGGACAAGACGGTTGGAGTGAGTACCTCTAAATCAAGATGCTTTGTTCTAGATTAAAAAAAATAAAAAGGGCTTTGGCGCAGAAGTACAGTATACTTTTCCTCTCTTTTTGGCTTCTGCAAGGTGAGAAACCAGGAGTAGAAAGCAGGATAATTGATTTGGGTTTTTTTTTCCACTATGATGTCACCATTTATTGTCACATACTTTTCAGCTATTGCTGTTGTTAAATCAATTAATGCCCGCCAATCTTCTCTCAAATCCAGCTTCAGAAACTCTAAAAATTAAAAGGCCAAATAGGTTGCATGTTTGCTAATATCAGACACATTTAGTTGATCTAAATATTTTCTATTGTTGAAGAGTACTTGAAGTGAAGATAAAATTTGCCAATAGACCTACCTCTGTCTGTGTTCCCTCTTCTTTTATTTTTACTTTATCATTTTAACATTCTTTTAAAAAATATGTAGTTCCAAATTCTCTTCCTCCCTTGTACCACTTCCCCCTCATTGAGGAGGCAAACCAATATGATATCAATTGTACATGTGAAATCATGCAAAACGTATTTCCACATTAACTGTATAACCAAAAAAAAAAAATCAAGGAAATAAAGTGAGAAAATTATACTTCAATTTGCACTCAGATTTCACCAGTTCTCTTTCTGGAGATGGACAGTGTTTTTTCATTGTGAGTCCTTTGGAATTGTCTTGGATCATTGTGTTGATCAGAGTAGTCAAGTCTTTCACAGTTGATCATCCTTGCAATATTGTTCTTACTAAATACAATGATCTCCTGGTTCTGCTCACTTCACTTTGCATCAGTTCATATAAGTCTTTCCATGTTTTTCTGAAACCACCTTGCTTGTCATTTCTTATAGTACAATAACATTTCATCATAATCTCAATCATCACAATTTCAACAAAACTTATTCAGCCATTCCCCAATTTTTTTTGTTTTCAACATTCATTTCTTTAAGATTTTGAGTTCCAAATTTTTCTCCTTCCCCCTCCTCAAGACCTGATATACATTATAGATGTACAGGCATGTTAAACATATTTCCACATTAGTCATATTGTGAAAGAAGAATCAGAACAAGATGGGAAAGCCATGAGAAAGAAAAAACAAAAAAAAAAGTGAAAATAGTCTGCTTCAATCTGCATTCAGACTCCATAGTTCTTTCTCTGGATGTGGATAGCATTTGAATCTTTTGAAACTGTCTTGGATCATTATATTGCTGAGAAGAGCTAAGTCTATCATAGTTGATTATTGCACAGTGTTGCTGTTACTGTGTGCAATGTTCTCCTGGTTCTGCTCACTTCACTCAGCATCAGTTCATCTAAGTCTTTCCAGGTTTTTCTGAAATCTTCCTGCTCATCATTTCTTTTGGAACAATAGTATTCCATTACATTCATACACCACAGCTTGTTCAGCCATTCCACAATTGATGAGCATCCCCACAATTTCCAATTCTTTGCCACCACAGAAAGAGCCGCTATAAATATTTTTGTACATTTAGGTCCTTTTCCCTTTTTTTGATCTCTTTGGGATATAGTCCTAGTGTTGGTATTGCTGAGTCAAAGGTATGCACAGTTTTATAACCCTTTGGGCCTGTTCCCAAATTGTTCTCTAAAATGGTTGGACAAAAGCAAGAGGATTGTAATGGTAAACTGTTAGCAGAAACTCTTAGGGCAGAAGGGATGTTAGGAAAAGAAAACTAACACCTGTCCATTGATTAATCAGGAAGGTAAGTTTTTCTTCCTACCTCTTAGCTATGCAAGTAAGGCTAAAAGGATCTACTTACCTGTGGTACACTATAAGCATTGGAGTCATCAGTATACCTAGGAAGGGCTTTTGTCACTAAATTAAGATTCAGACCCAGAAGAAAAACTAGTTAGATGAAAGTTACAGAATTGCAGAATTGAAAGGGGCCTTACAGATTATCTCCTTTAACTTCTACCCAGAAAATAAATGTAAACTACAGGGTCCCTGATCATTGATCATCTGAGATTCTAATAGGGAGGTAAGAGAGATTAAAAAAAAACAGAGTTCACTTCTAGCTAGGGAGATCAAGGAAAGCATCGTGAAGGATCTGATACTTGAGCTAGACCTTGAAGGAAGAGAAAGACTTCAACAGGCAGAGATGTAAGTGAAGACCATTCCAGGCATAGAATGTGCGAAGACATAGAAAAAAGGGTAGGATACTGGGAGACTGTGAATAGTCTTCTTGGGCGAGAAAATAAAATGCGTCATGCTCAGTATGCAGTAAGGCTGAAAACATGAAGAACTGACATTTGTATAGTACTAAGTGCTTTACATACTGGCTTTCCTTTGGCCTTCATGTCAACCCTGCAAGGCTTTATTGTCCCTATTTTACAGATGAGGTAATTGAGGCTAAGAGTGTCAAAGGCAGAATTTTAACCTAAGTCTTATTAACTCCAAGTTCAGCACTTTGTCCACTATACTATGCTGCGTCTTAAAGGTGGATTAGAGCCATTATCATAGAAAAAAATTTTTTTAAAGCATCATGGAACTGTTAAAACTCTTTGTGGGGTGGAACCAAGATGGTGGATTAGAGGCAACAACCCATCTGAACTCTCTCAACATTCAGCTCTGAACAACTTTGAAGTAATGCTTCAAATCAAATTTTGGAGTGATAGAGCCAAGAAAAGGTCAGGGTGAGACATTTTACCAGCCTAAGAAAGCTTAGGAGGTGTGTAGGAGAGATCTATGACACCAGGGTGGGCACTGGGCTAGAGCACAGCACTACAGCACCAGTCATGGGCCTTGGAGGTGACTGTGCTTGTGGCAGTAGCAACTTTAGGAGCTCTGTTAGACAACAGTCAGAAGGAGATTAAAGGGGACCTTTTGCTGGCACTGATTAGCAGCCCATAAGCAGCTCTAAATCACAGTTCCAGGGTGAAGAACATTTCTGATATGTCACAAGGGAATAAGGGCCCTGGTCTCAGTTCCAAGGTGAAGAGGAATGCTAGCACTTGTGGGGACCAGGGGCCCTTTCTGGGTAAAGACCAGAGTGCAGACCAGGAAAGCAGTGACCATACTTCTCCCGGGATCACACCAAAAACTTACAGACTCTCAGAACTAGCTCTGAAAACAGCAACATGAAAAAGCCTGAAACTTGGGACAGTGCCTCCCTACTCCTAGTGGAGCAGAGTCCAACTTTAAAATAAAGCTGCCCCAAAATTAGAAGAGGAGATAAATGGGGAAAAAAAATCTTTGCAGCAAGTTTCTCTGATAAAGATCTCAATTTTAAGATAAGTAGGGAACTGATTCAAATTTATAAGAATAAGAGCCATTCTCCAGTTGATCAAAGGATATAAAAAGGAAATTTACAGACAATGAAATCCAAACTATCAATAGCAATATAAAAATACTCGAAATCACTAATCATTAGAGAAATACACATTAAAGCACCTCTTCACACACACACACATAAAATTGGCAAAATTGCCTTAAAAGGAAATGCCAGAGGGGGTGTGGGAAAGCAAATACACTAATGCATTGTTGATGGATCTCTGAGCTGTTAAAGCCTTTTGGAACTACGCCCAAAAAGCTATTAAATCGTGCATACGTAGCCTTTGACCTAGCTACTGCTACTAGGTCTATACCCCAGGGAATCAAAGAAAGGGGAAAAAGATCCCATGGGCACAAAAGTATTCACAGCACCTTTTTTCATGGTGGTGAGGAATTTAAAACTGAGGGAGTGTGCATCGATTGGAGAATGATTGAACAAGCCATGATCTGTGGACATGCTGTCAGGAATAATAAAGGGATGGTGGCCAAGAACTGGGAACGGAGGCAATGCCCATCAGTTGGGGGATGGCTGAGCAAGTTGTGGTACGTGAATGTGACGGAATACCACTGAGCTATAAGAAATGGTGAGCGGGCGGACTTCAGAGAAACCTGGAAAAACTCATATGAACTGATGCTGAGTGAAGTGAGCAGAACCAGGAGAACGTCGTACACAGCAACAGCCGTGTTCTGTGACGTCTAACTTGGATAGACTTATCTCTTCTTAGCATTGCAGGGATCTAAGACAACTCCAAAAGACTCGTTATGGAAAATGTTGTGCACATCCAGAAAAAGAACGATGGAGTCTGAATGCAGATCGAAGCATACTATTTGCTCTATCTCTTTTTGTTTATTTTGTTTCTTTTTTCTTGTGTTTTCTCCCATTGGTTCTTATTCTTCTTTACAACATGACTAATGTGAAAATAGGTTTAATAAGAACGATATATGTTGAGCCTATATCAATTTACACATTGTCTTGGGTTGAGGGGAAGGGAGAGATGGGAAGAAAATCTGGAACTCAAAAGCTTATGAAAGTGAATGTTGAAAACTAAAAATAAATAAATAAATTTATAAAAAAAAAAAAGAAATGATGAAGAGGACAGCTTCAGAGAAACCTGAGATTTGTATGAATTGATTCAGAGTGAGATAAGAATAGGAGAACAATTTATACAGTAAAAAAAATTATAAAGACAACCAACTTTGAAAACCTTAGATATTTGGACCAACACAATGACCAACCATAATTTCAGAGGACTCACACTGAAATAGGCCACCCATCTCCTGATAGAGAGGTGATTGGCTCAGAGTACTGATTGAGACATTTTCAGACATGGCAAACTCAGGAATTTGTTTTGCTTGACTATGTGTTTATAATAGGGGACTTTGTTTTTCATGATTCCTTAAGGGTAATGAAGGGAAGTGGGAGGGAGAAAAGGGACATCTTTGTTTAAAATAAAATTAATTTAATTTTTAAAAAATGTTTAAGCATTAAAAAAAGAGAACATTCTCTTTGAATGGAATATGGTCCCAGTGATGAGAAAATGTAAATGAATGTGGTTCATAGGATTTAGAGCTAGAAGGAACCTTAGAGATCATCCAATTCAACTTCTTTATCTTAAATATAAGGAGCTACAGATCTAGAAGAGTGAAGAGATTATCTAAGATGACAAAAAAACCAGAAGAGCTGGGATTTGAACCTAGGTCCTTGACTCCAAAGCCAGCACAAGTTTTGCCACACTATTCTGCCTTCTTGGGCTTTAACTTTCTCAATTTTTTACTTTAGTAATATTTATTGCAGGGAGGAGCAAGTGCCCATGGAGCTGGTTCAGCGGAATGATGTGATCAAGGTAGTACCTGGGGGAAAGTTCCCAGTAGATGGAAAAGTCCTCGAAGGCAGCACCATGGCAGATGAGTCCCTCATCACAGGTTAGCTGGTGTTGATTCAACTTTTCTTCTGGGAGATTGCGTAGGATTTGCCAGGATACCTACATGCTGATGGCAGATGTAGCTCATAATATTTCTCCATTTTCCCCACTATAGGAGAAGCTATGCCAGTCACTAAGAAACCTGGGAGCACGGTGATTGCTGGCTCAATCAATGCACATGGCTCGGTGCTAGTTACTGCTACTCATGTTGGGTCGGACACTACGCTAGCACAGATTGTGAAACTGGTAGAGGAGGCTCAAATGTCAAAGGTAATGAAAATATCCAGAGTATTTGGCAAACACGGGACATGGCTTCATGGTATCCTCACTCTGGAAATTATTTTAAGATCTTCATAGAAGTTTTCTTAGGTATGGCTGATCCATGAAATGATTAAGGAAGGAAATGATTATGTATTAAGGAAGGAAAGTATTATGATACTTTCTTGATCCATGCTTATAGCATTATTTATCTTTTTGTTTATAAGTTCCAATGGTTTTGGTGTCTTGTTTTTTTCCATAGGCACCCATTCAGCAACTGGCTGACAAATTTAGTGGATATTTTGTCCCATTCATCATCATCATTTCAACTGTGACACTGGTGGTATGGATTGTAATCGGTTTTATCGATTTTGGTGTTGTTCAGAAATACTATGCTGTAAGTTGAGTACCTGAATTTTGTTGGTTTTCTACATTCTACTGCAACTAATGCCTCTCTTTCAGGACCCGGAGTCATCAGGCTTTCATTATCCATTGCATTCATTGTATTTGCTGATTTCTTTTTTTTTTTTTGCCATACAAACGCAAGACAAGAGGCAGGGTGATC